TTTAATTCATGAAAAATTCCGATTCGAACATTAATAGACAGAAGATAAATAGTTCAGCGAGGAGTCTCTTTTCGGCGAATTCATTTTCATAGCTGTAAAATCGCAAATATATATGGTTGTGTTTGTATGTGTGTGTACATTAAATTTGTCAAACGAAAATACAATTAGTAAGTTCAGATGAATTGGATGTTGAAATAAGAGGGTAGTAACTAGAGTGATGAGTTGTCACAAACTATTGTTAAAGAAGAGTTACATAATACTGTGAATAGTTTGATGAAAGAGTTGTGCTCAGGATGTACATGGAAACAAAATAGCATGCGGAATTAGGCAATGGTTGTAAGTAGTTAGAAAAATGAGCTTACAAACAAAAGTTAAGTCAAATCAACGGAGTTGTTACCATGAGAGTAGAAGTGGTTGAATAATTTTCTTTTGTATGCATAGTTGTGGTTCTTCCTACTGAATGGTTGGGGCTTCTGCAATGCAAAGAAGATAGAAACGTATTGTCTTTGGAAGGTTGTTCTTGACTCTGTAGACTACTTTGAAGCAGGAGGCGTTTGTTGAGATGGAATGACTAGTGTTGACGAGATGTTCGATTATTGCACTCCTTATACGGCCACTACTTCCTTTCTGCAGCCACGCTGGATAGTGTTCTTTGACCTTTTTTGACAGGATGCGCGTTGAACGACCGATGTACCTGGCTCCACAGCAACAGGTGAACTGTTGTATACACATAGAAGTGGTCAGATGCGGGATCTTGTCCTTTGGGCTTCTGTAGATCAGCGGGCAACTGAAGAACACTACTCTCAATGTTGCCGCAAAGAAAGTTCTTCTTAAAGAAGACGAAATTCTCCTCCTAAGAACATCACTGAGTAGGTCACCTTTGAAGTCAAGGTTCATATATAGTATCTTTTTTGGGCACGGATGGTGTCTCTTGCTTTTGGATTTTCTATTTGATGTTTTTGTCTACGAATCTTGATGGATAACCGTTTTGTATGAAGATTTCTTTCAAGAAGTATCAGAGCTACAGATACGTTGGACGCGAGTGGCAAGAGATCCTATTGGTTGCCGGAGAGTAACTGAGATCATGCGTCTAGTCCTTGGTGCTGGTAGAGGCTGAGTTCTATCAGTCAAGATCATAGTGTGGTCCACCAAGATAGGTGACTGACCATCGTGCTGCTCTCTAAAATTGACGTTAGAAGGTCAAAGGCTATAGGCAGTCCTATAGGAGGTCTAACCATGACACGGAACAGTCCACTGGTAACGATTCTGATTGCAGCTGTGGATGACTCGCTTTCCAGTTGCAGAGAGAACATTAATTACTTCAAGGATTACAAATGCGCCTTGTTGATGAGTGCGTACAGGCGAGAAACTTAGGTCCCAAGCTAACAGCTGATCACCTCCAATAAGTTTATAGCCAAGATGCATCACTGATATGCATAATACGAATACCACCGTTTCTCCTATTTCGTACACCTGCAGAATTTGTAAACGCCGACCAAAGTAGCCGCCAGTCAACCCATCGTTTAAAACACATTGAGAATGTCTCACATACATCACCATTTCTTCAGTTAGAGTAGATTTCTCCAGAGAGTTTCAGAAATAAAACGATCATTTGGCTTCATAAGCGAAGCATTTGAGTTCTGTGTAAAGTCCAGGACACATGATTCGTCTGAGAGATAGTAATCAATAAAAAGTTACAAACTTTGGGGCATGAGGCGTCCAGGCTTATTTCCTTCGTAGGCACTTTCAAATAGGCGCATGAAGGAGGGAATAGAATTGTTTTAGAATCCAAGAGAAGATAGAATATAAAAGCTACATCAAATAAGTGCAGTTTAATATGGACTGTAAATTACTAAAGACAACATCTAATATCTAGACATGAAATTATATATTTTCTCGCAAACAGACGAGTGCAAATGCGGACTAGTGATACGATGCTCGAAGAAAGAATTATACTACTGTTTGTTAGCAGGTAGTATAAATCTGAATACATAAATATTGCAGTGATGGTTAGCTAAGGAAAGAACTCAGCTCATTCAAAGCCACAATACTGAATCCAGGCTTCCTTCCAGTACTAGTGCAGGCATGCTACAAATTACTCCTGCCACATCTACATTCATTGGTACACATCGTCAACACACAAATACTTTAGATCTTATTGGCCAGTCTGATAATTGACAGTGTATATTTTAAAGCTGACGAGTGTGTTGAAAATGTGACTTAACACGGTGGTCAAACCAGTCAATCGGTATTAACCACTTGGTTTTGTCTTTAAATTTAGTATTTTTAGAATGTTCTCAAGCAGCTTCATGGATACCACAGTCGTTTTTAGTTCCAGATTCAGTAGTTTAATATTATCTCAAAAGAGAAACTTTAGACTTGTTTGTAGCAGAACCACAACTTATCAAGGAATGGACTTATAATCTGAATGGATTACGTATCTGTATCCCATTACTGACTAACCCTCAAGCAAACTTAAGAACTTTTCTGCAATGGTGATCACCATTAGTTTGCATGGCTGAACGAAATATAGCGAAAACCTGGTATAGATGGAAATGGCTGTCCAAAATTTTCTATGCACTGATGAAGAACATAGTGTGTTCCTTGTGCCATATTGACTATCAGAAAACCGATATGTTTACATTTGACTGAAAGCAAAGAAAAATCCATCAAGTACAGCCACTTGAGTAGTCATCCATCTGGTGAAGATCTAGCCTTCGTTGGCTGCGGTCCATCTACTTCGTAGACATTCTTGATATTCATTTTGTGATCTACATTCGGTTATTCTGTTTCGAATTCATTGATGTCCTTCCTGAAAATGAGTGTATTTTACAGGTGATTTAGTTTTGTAGACTTTACGGAGTGTGGCTAGGGTGACATCTGAACCGTTTTTTACCAGCATATTTGCAACTAAGACGCCTTCAGGATGTAAGAGCAGGATTGTTGAACATCCCAATGAGCAACTTCCTAGTTTTACTCTGGCGCAGTCTGACTTTCCGATAATCAACTACCAAAGAGTCCCATCTCTACAAGAGATAAATTGATGATACTTCCGTAATTTTTAACTAGAATTCTGATCTCAGAAACCTACTACAAACGATCAATAATCCCCACTCAAACGTCGACTTCATTCTAGGAGTTGAATTTGACTTAATGCTTCATTTCTCGACGTTCAGCAGAGAAGAAATGCTGATAACTCGCTGAGAAGATCCGTCTTTATGGAACGGACAATTTATCAACTTTAAGAGTTGTGTTCCTTTAAGCAGAAAACGAAACATCATATACTCTCTTTCCCCTAGAATCCGTAAAATATGCTCTGAGGAACCAATCAACAAAGAATTAAGAAATCTCCAAAGGTCCTTCATAGAAAATGGATTTCTACACAGATTCATAGACAAGAATCTAAAACCAAAGAAAACCGATGAAAAGGTCCAACTCGTCCCCAAAAGATGCTGATGCCTAATCTCTAATTTGAAAGTGATACCGAAGCGGAACTTCTCCGTAGACGGCTATCGAAGTCTCTCAGTAAAACATACTACGAGTAACATTGGCCTATAAGAAACCATCCAACCAGCTCATGAAAGACAAGCTACCGCATTGGGCCACTTCAGCATGCATATATCAGTTCATTCGGAACTTGTGTGGAGCCGAGTACATTGGCGTAACATGCATCCGCTTGTCGAACAAGCTCATGAACACTATTCAGCATAGTAAGCAAAGGGAGAACGCAAATGTGTATACAGTTCTGTAACAAAACATCTGGTGAATTTAGGGCATTCAGCTCCATTTGAAAAGTCCTCCAAAGTTATATACAAGTTCCGACGAAACCTATCAAAGTGATTTAAATCAAGGCATCTAGGAATAGCTGATCCAAAATCTCAAGCCCACTCTCTGTGTTCAAAAGAAATACTTCCAACTGTTGTCCCTACCATGGCCATCATGAAAAGCCAGTCCCACCAATAATAGATATCCAATTACCTCTCTTGTCCAACCTCCCCGTTTATTTCTGTTATTTTTACGTTTCTGATTCCTATCTGCATTACTAGATTGAGTTGCTGCGCTTTTATTTTTATATGTCTGATCTTCCTACTTATTTTGTTATTTCTACGTCCATAATTCGCAATTTGTACAAACAGTCACGTTTTTCAGTAATTATGACCTTTTATGTCTCTTCTACTCGATCTTCCTGATGATGACACTTTGTAATTTTATTAATTTGTCCTTAGGCTTGGAATAGTTCGGGAACTCTTTCACCCATTTACGATAGATACACGAATGTTGTGCCTAGTTGACGACTTCGTCGAAAAGAAGACTTTCTTCGCTGCAACCGCCTTTTGCACTTAACATTTCAATAAACAGAAAATTTGCTAGAGAGCCATTATATACATATATATATAAATACCGATAGGTAAGTATAAAAGCTATTGACCACAAAAAGCCACCTGCCCTTCATTCTCGCCTACTTGAATGGACACCGCAGAGGCAGTCAGTCAAATTCAGATTTAAATTTTCTCAGCTGGTTTTGGTCTCATGTGACTTTGCACTGCATGTTTTTGGAGAAAATCCTGTAAACATCATATCAGGTGTTACGTTTGTCTTAAGGGTGTATTTTGTCAATTTTCTTACACAGCTAGAATATCTGCCTCGGTGTTAGCGCTATACTATGCACAAACAACATCATACTGTTAAATTGTAACTTCCCTCATACTGTTCAAAGGTCAGATGATTAGTTGCGCATTCATCACGCTGAACAAAGGCAATCAGTATTATTTAAATTACTTAAACGAAAAGAGAGACAAAAACAGTGTACAAGTAATGAGACTTTGTTTGAATAAATTGAACTGAAATCAAAGTTCTTTACAGGGTGAATCCGATTTTATTGATTTAATTTGTAACTCCTATTGAAATCAACATTATAACTTCGACTATTCACACTCATATTAGTGAACAGTTCAAGCGGATTCAAGCGGATTTCACTAATTCTGTCTGTCTGCCACCAGTTGTGAAGTATGGAGAATGAGAAAATCCCTGTGCATCAAAGGCATCAGTCTGAGGATTCCGAAAGATTATCATATACAAAAATGGTGAGTTTTTCATTATATTGTCTCTTATGCATCATATATATTTAGGTTATGTTACTGGTGGGAATTGAAATATTAGTGAGTCTGGTAATCACATTGTCCTTGTCAGCAATGTATGTCATCACATCAAAATCCAATTATATACACATTCGCTCATAGATCACCATACATAATTAATCGGATCAGCTGTATGACAATATTCACAATTATATTCGCGTAAGCCTACTATATTTTATCGACATGAATTTTAAAACTTTCCTTTATGGTAATTCCTTAATGGTAATACTCTGATGACTGAATTTTACATGGTAACGTGTTTACGAATCCATTTCGAACAGATTGTGGTATTGTTATAACTACAATGTTTTTTGCTTCCAAGTGGAACACATAGCTACAACAACATATCTTCCCTTCTCTCTTATTTCCGTTATCATTTTAAGGTGTCTTCATGACCATTCATTGGGTCACCATTTTGTTCCCCATATTTGTCGGATAACAGGCTTTTGGTTGGTAAGCCGCAATGGCAGAGCTCTTCTGCGGCTAACATCTCTGGCTGGCCATCTGATCTTAAATGTGCAGCGAGGCAGATGTTGATAATAGTCTGCGACAAGCTGTTGGAAGTGCTTTTGTTGAGGTTTGAATCAAGTCTCTGAACCATATAGAAGGGCTGAATAGGCTGACATGAGTGTTGAAAATCCGAATCTCCTTACTCATATCGAGTGTACCGGATTTCGAAACTGATCTCAGAATAACGGAGGTTGTCTCTGATATCCTCACCCGTGACACTCTGTGTGTGGTTGGAAATGAGATAAGTGAGAGAAGTGGTCTCATTCGGATTTATTCCATTGATGGTGCTTATTGTTGTTGTTCTTGTTGGTTCGTTATCGGTATTACCACATTCTTTCCTGTATTCCCCTGAATTCCCATCTTGGCCTGTTACCTCTACTACCAACCTGCTGGTTTTCGCCTGTAGGTCTTCTTAGACATAAATCATCTGCGAAGTTCAGAGCTTTCAGTATCTTCTTCACTTCACTGTGTTCTCTGGAGCCTTTCTAAAATGGCATCACATTCATCCATTAGATTTTCTTTTCTTCTCACACGGTTTCCTCATCTTATAACCAAGCTGCCTGAATCTACATCGAGAAAGTTGTCCAGGGAAACTTTGCTGATTAGGATGTTACCGAAATGCGTCGCTGACTGCCTGTTCTGGTCAAAATATCCTCAGTGTGCATCGAAAGCAGCTGTTGATGTAAGTTTCCTGCAGAGTGTTGGAAACTGACTTGATATTAGGATTGAAAATCCAGATCTTGTTCTTAATACTGAGAGCGTCAGTTTTCCTAAATGATTCCAGAATATTGCAGATTTTTCTTGCTTTCATGACCCTAGTTTTCCCAGTCCTAAAACACGCCACATGTAGTTGAAACGATGCTGCCTAGGTAAGTGATAGACCACTCTTCGGTCCCTGCTATTCTCAGTGACTGTTACTTGTTGCTGTTGTTTGCGCATCCTCATTAACTGTATTATCTCTGTGTTTACTTACAGTTCTCTCTTTGCTGTTTGTTCCGTAAACTGTTGGTTTTCGATCATACATTTCTAAGTTTTTGCGACATTATACGTAGGTTATCTGCGACGCCCAGATCTTCTGATGTCTTCTTGTCGGTCAGTATATTCATGTTTTCTCCCCACGCACAACCTTCCATATGATCCGGTCCACCACAATCAGGAATATAATAATGGACGGTAGGTAGGCTCGACTTACTCCTCTCTTCACTTCAAATAACTCACTGAGTTCCCGTTTTGAACCATTCACTCTGTATGTCGCATCATCATAAGGCCATATGAGATTGATGAGAGTTTTAGGTACTCCTTAGTGTTGCAACAGTTTCAAAATCACTTCACAGTCGACAATTCCGAAGGTCCTTTCAAAGTCGATGAAGTTCATGTCGAGATTTGTGATACACGAAAATTAGTCAAAAACGAGTAACTCATGAATGACTTTAAAACCGCACCATGCAAGTAATTTTATACTTCTTCATGAATTCATTCGATCAACCTAGGAATTCTGTCCACCGTCAAAACATGATGTTAATATCTTCATGGAAGCATAATACAAAGCCGAGTATTGGCTGACAGATGCCAGTCAAAAATACATCTGATACAACATCATCTAAATAACAACGCAATCGGATTATCTTACAAGATCTCTACTGCAAACAGTAAATGACGTCTTTGGCATTAACTTTTCACTGCCGTTCGTGTTTTATTTCTAAACGGAACAAGCAAACGGTGTACATCATTTATACTGAGGTATAGTCGTGCTGTGGCACAGCGGTTACGACGCTCGCTGACCATGCACATGGTCCGGGGTTCGATCCCCAGTCGACGCACTCCTTTACCTCGCTAAGCCAGAAATAATGCTGGTAAAGAGGGAAGGTTGGGCATGAGGCTAGCAACCCCATCCAGTAAAAATAAACACTGCTACAGAAAATCCAAGCTTCTAGCTTGAAGCCCTATGTTCCACTGAGAACATGAAGGATTAAACAACAACAGTCATGCTGTAAAATAAGTTATTAATTAATGCAGGTAATTTCCAGCTAAAGTAAACTTCTATGGAATATATCCAATGGTCTTTGATTTCACATATCTGCATATCACTTTCATGCCAGTTCATAAATACAAAGTAAGTTCATGAAATCTGTTATATACACAAACACAATTAAACTCAGTATTCACCTACCATTATTTGTTGTACTCATTATTTTTCAGGGTGATAGCTGATATGTCAGCAGTATTACTTCTTGCTATCCCGAAAATTAGACATCTCTTCCCACTCAACATCATCATTCTCTTTGTATACGTAAGAATTTGTATATAATTTATATTTAGTTTTCATTTATAAATTTAACATATTTGCAATTAATAGTGTTCTCTGAGCTGGTTGTTAGTTGCGAAGCTTTCGTCATCCATCTTCTGGACAACATCCCCCTTCAGCGCCATATTTAGCACAAAGTGAAATGATTTAAATTTCTTCATGAATGATATAATTGCGTCTCCTGGTAACTTTCTTTACACATGTATTGACCATTTTCTATTGACTTGGATTTTAAACTTTCTGGTCACCTGATTTACTTTTTATTAGTTGGTATATTTCGTCTATATATTAACGTGTTTGTTAATTGCGTATTCGTTTGAGTACCAGGCTTCTAGGAATTCCCTGACTGCACTTTTGGTGTTTCCTCTGTCTAAGATTTTGACATTATCCCAATCAAACTGATGACCATCATTGTCAATATGCATTGATACTAAAGAATATATATCGTGTCTTTTCAAAGACCACAAGAAAGTTCATCTTACCAAACATGAGAAATATCTCTGAAATAACAGCTAGGATACTGAGACCGTTTCAAAATAGATATGGCACACAAGCCAGTCAAATCGCTTAATTCGATATTATGCAAACCAAAAAATCCAACAGAAAAAGAAGATAAAATTAATGCTATTTACAAAGTAAATTTTATGAACCGTAACAGGCATTAACTCGGCCAAAGTGGGCGTCCGCTTCGAATCAGAATCCAAGAACACAAATCAGCCGTGAAAAGACATGATATATATTTTTTTCTTATCAATGCATGTATATAATTATGGACATCAGTTTGATTGGGATAATGTCAAAATCTTATTATTATTATTGTTCCCTTGGGTTCCTAGTGGAACATAGGGCTTCAACTGCACGTCTCCACTTGCTTCTGTCTTGTGCTGTACTTTTCACTTGCGTCCATGTTATTCCATACTGTTTCATCTCCTCCTCACACGATCTCCTCCATGTCACCCTTGGACGTCCCACTCGCCGCTTCCCTTTCGGGTTCCACTCGAGGGCTTGACGCGCGATGTCACTCAACGGCCTCCTCAGCGAGTGTCCAATCCATCTCCACTTTCTCCTGCATATTTGTTGGGCGATTGGTTCCTGTTTCGTTTGTTCAAAAATCTTAGACAGAGGAAACACCAAAAGTGCAGTCAGGGAATTCCTAGAAGCCTGGTACTCAAACGAATACGCAATTAACAAACACGTTAATATATAGACGAAATATACCAACTAATAAAAAGTAAATCAGGTGACCAGAAAGTTTAAAATCCAAGTCAATAGAAAATGGTCAATACATATGTAAAGATGGTTACCAGGAGACGCAATTATATCATTCATGAAGAAATTTAAATCATTTCACTTTGTGCTAAATATGGCGCTGAAGGGGGATGTTGTCCAGAAGATGGATGACGAAAGCTTCGCCACTAAACCAACCAGCTCAGAGAACATTATTAATTGCAAATCACCCACCTGAGCTAGAAATCTTCTCTATTATTTCAAATTTAACATATTTTTTTGTTGGAAAATTTTCAATAAAGTTAATTCTGTATTCCTTGTCAATCAATTATATATAGGATCAAAATGGAGGATCTCTGTTGACGATGTCTAATGATTAACGTAAAATTATTTGTTAGATGGTGATCAACAGTGGAACTCAGGACGCACGTTTCACCCCCACTGGGGAATCTACAGCTTGATGTACATGCAATCGTCAGCGGAAACACCTTCAATCCATTGGGAACTGCAGCTATTTCCTTCTGAAGATTTCCGGACTGGAAAACAAATAAGCATCCTGGATTCCTCTGATAGTCACCATCTACTAAGAATTTCATTTATTCACAATCCTTCTGGATCAAGAAGCTTTCTGTAACTGGAACAATTAAAACTGAGATATGCGTTGTATGATGTCAACGAAATATTCCATGCTTCATTGCAAATGACTCCAAAATACCAATATCTCTTGATTCGCAGCTTACACGTCTTTTCAGTACCAACTTATGCCTTCCTCACATTAGTTTAACTTCACTAGATAAACGTCACGTGACCTAGGCACCTAATAATCTTATTAGATGAAGAGAAGATATTCTTCCGAACCCTATGTGGCGGTTTTATGTTGACAATATAACAAGCTATATGGACTCCAAAATCAGCGTGAGTGAACTGCAACTCGTCTTAGCATTTGTAGTTGTTCAACAAATATTTTATAGAGTATTTTTGAACAAACAAATTTTTGAATTAGTCCAACAGTCTACATAAATTAACTGGGACGATCTGTCCTGATGTATGCTTCAAATCTATATGCAGGTTTCCAACTCAGTTGTCAACAATGAACACCGATGTGAAAAATTAAACATATATTTGCTATTCAATAAGTGAAGAATGTTTTTTACATTATAATAAAGATTTTTGTATTTCCCAATGAATGAAAAACAAAACGATATTGTTGTGTGTTTACTGACTTTTCGCTATTTAATGCTAATAGCCTTATCAAAGTATTATTATACCGGAATTTACAAAATCTCAGCATATATACAACAAAGAGTTAAGAGGTGAGAAAATAGACTTAGATCAAGTTAAAAAGGGGACATATTGAAAGTCAAAATAACAATGAAGAACGCTAAACCAAATAACAAAGGTAATAGTACGTCTGTTATGATTTTGTAAATTCCGGTTTAATAATACTGTGATAAAGCTATTAGCATTAAATAGCGAAACGTCAGTTAACACACAACAATATCGTTTTGTTTTTCATTCATTCACTGGGAAATGCAAAAAACCTTTATTATAATGAGTATCACATACCCAATGCCCAAATATTTTCAAACTGTTAAAAGTGAACTTGGTTTAGACATATAGAATGTTTTTTTACATTTATCTTTTTTCCATGTGCCGCTTAGACAATATCCGCATCTTTCGTAGCCGGCTTTCCGTTTGCCTGTATGAATATTCTCTGGGCGTTAGCAAGTTGGGGAACAACCTTGGTGGTATTCTTCTCCACTGTAGTAGGTGGGGCATATATTCGGGTGAAACTGTTGGATTATTGGCTCACATTATTATCAGTTGTCGTTTCTGAATTCATTGCAACATTAATCGCCACCATTGTGTTATCTGCCATAGGACATTTAGAAGTAAGCAATACTTTTATGATTTCATTTGAAAATTATAGTTATGTACGCATATATATATTTATATATATATAAATATATAACACAAAATAATTGAGCAAAGAATATCCTTTTCGATAAATTCCTCTTCTGGATCTAAAATTATATATATATATACGTTTATATACGTAAAATATTCCAGAATAGTAGTCAGTAACAATATTAGTCAATCTGAACGAAGAATATTGTTTTCAATAATTCCTCTTCAGGTTCTTACAATTATAAAATAAAATATTTGTTATACATGTCCAAACCAAGTTCACTTTTAACAGTTTGAAAAAAATTGGGCATTGGGTATATGATATTCATTATAATAAAGGTTTTTGTATTTCCCAATGAATGTATGAAAAGCAAAACGATATTGTTTTTACTGCATATATGCTGAGATTTTTTAAATCCCGGTTTAATAGTACTTTGATAAAGCTATTAGCAGCAACATTAAATAGCGAAACGTCAGTAAAAACAATATCGTTTTGTTTTTCATTCATTCATTGGGAAATACAAAAGCTTTTATTATAATGAATATAATATTTGTTGTCGTTACAATAAAGGCCAGTTATTCGGTGGATACATTTTTTTAATGTAGAATAACAAACTAGTTTTGGGGTGTCAAAATAAATAGTCTTATTTGTGTGACAAACGTGCTAGGCTGAAATCGATTACAAAATATTGTAAAATGGGAGACAATGGTGATATTATCTCTTTTCTCAATATATGTCTCCACTTGTTTCATTTCACACATTTGTTATTTTATTATGAATCTCTCATTGCAGTCTTACTATCTCCAGTTTAACACAGGCCACTTTGTACTAGTCACTCACCTGACACCTTCTATAATCTTGAACTGACTTGTCAATTTTCCTACCCCACACTCTACAAATCTACTATGACTAATCACCACCATTGTCTCCCGTTTTACAATATTTTGTAATTGATTTCAGCCTAGCACGTTTGTCACACAAATACGACTATTTATTTTGACACCCCAAAACTAGTTTGTTATTCTACATTAAAAAAATGTATCCACCGAATAACTGGCCTTTATTGTAACGACAACAAATATTATATTCATTATAATAAAGGCTTTTGTATTTCCCAATGAATGAATGAAAAACAAAACGATTTTGTTTTTACTGACTTTTCGATATTTAATGTTGCTACTAATAGCTTTATCAAAGTATTATTAAACCGGAATTTAAAAAATCTCAGCATATATGCAGTAAAAACAATATCATTTTGTTTTTCATACATTCATTGGGAAATACAAAAACCTTTATTATAATGAATATCATGTACCCAATGCCCAATTTTTTTCAAACTGTTAAAAGTGAACTTGGTTTGGATATATATAACAAATATTTTATTTTATAATTGTAAGAACCTGAAGAGGAATTATTGAAAAGAATATTCTTCGTACAGATTAACTTTTAATTCATAATATGGGAATATTCCACACTATCAAATCTTATAACAATATTAGTGTTTTTCTAAATAATATCGATTTGTAAAGTATGATGAATGCAATTACAGTTGATTAAACATGCTTAAATTATAATAATAATAAAGATGTAGTAGCGAATAGAATATCAACTAAAATTAAGCAAATTTCTGCAAAAATTGAGGATCATTCAAACCTAGATGGCCAAGGTAAGGACAGTGTCTGAACTAACTTCTTTTGGATGCACAAATTAGGCTTGTTAATATGGATCCCAACAGCTTCAGCAATATTTAGTAGTCGAACTCTTAAAGCAGAAATGAGATCCATAGGTATGCGGTAAATGACTCTGAAAGCATGGTTAACGTCAATCTTGTGTTCTGTATCCACAAGATGAGATAGAATAGCACTACGAATAGATTTCGTTTGTCCTTCGCTTAACCAAGCAGGGTGATGTTCAAAAATTTGACGCGAAACACACCTAACTATACGACCTATATAACTAACCGGCTGCACAGGAGCAGTTAAATTGGTAGATACACATGGAAGAGGTGAAATTAGGCAGTTTGTCTTTTACTACCGAAAGCAAAAGAGGAGTGGTTTTGAAGATACAGCGTAATTCGGCAGCAGGGAAGGCTCTTTTTACCGCTACTATTTCTTGATTATTATTATTTTATATTTTAAGCATCTTTAATGAACTGTAATTGCATTGATCATACTTTACAAACCGATATTGCTTAAAATAACATTAATATTGTTATTGACTACCATTCTAGAATATTCTATGTATATAAAGTTGTATGTATAATTGTAGAGCGAGAAGAGGAAATTATCGAAAAGGATATTCTTTGCTCAATCATTTTGTTTCTCACAGATGTCTGAATGAATATTTTTGCTATATATATATATATATATATATATATATAGTTTTCCACCAAACCTTTACTTTCATCAGTGTCTGAAGTCTTCTTAAATGAGCACACTCTGTGAGCAGACATGCAAAGGAAACAGAAGAAGAAGAAGGAAAATCAAATATATTAGCAAATATCTCAAGAAGAATAACCATCCCAAGAACTTTGTTAAAAGAAATCCAAGAAAACATCAAGCATAACCAATATCGTATGTCTGAAAGCATGGACCTTCAGAGCTGCTATTCGACATAGATCTGACACGTCAGAAAATATCAGAAGAGTACTTAATCAATGCGACACCATAGATTTTTTCAAAACATTAGATACACTACAGGGCAATCCTGTACATACAAAAAAGATTGAATTCCAAAGAATTTACAATCTCTTTGTAATATAAACTGCTTAGAATATGATGTAATACATACACGTCGAATGAACCTCACGAGAAAGTAATGTCACAAGAAATGAACACTGTACAGCATCTATTCGACCTCTTTGAAATACAATGGACCTGACAAAGCTTACAAAATAGTCAGTCATAGTGTAACAAGAGAAGGCGAGACACTGAAACCAAAGTATATTTTTCATTGATCAAACCGCTGTTTATACACAGTATTCTGTCGCTAATGCCGAAATGAACTGTGGGAATATGTGAGAATAATATCCTGTTGGCACACATTGTCTGTATCGCACCACCACACTAGAACATACCGCAGAATCAGGCCACAAAATTGACTTTAATAATTTTGATAGCGTCATTAGAAGACCGAGATTATCTGAAAAAATGTGATGTATTTGCGCTATACATTTCGAACAATCTGATCACACATTTACTTGTCAAGTCGATAGATATATATGAAAATGTTAAATTAAACAAAGTGACAAAAAAGGATTAAGAATAATTAACACAAACGTTTGGTAATCCAATCAAATAAGGATTACCAAGGTAAGTTAAGAGTAATAACAAACTGTTTTTGAATACACAAGGGGGGCTTAAGTTTATGAATGGCTATAGCCTCAGCGTATTTCAGTAAACGCCCTTGACCGTTTTTATAGATGACCTTAAAGGCTGAGTTAAAATCAACCTTATGGTTCAGCTCGATTAGATGTTTAGCTATAGATGAAGTTGGTAGTCTGACACTTGCATCTATTGGCTTGTCACAATTCATCTGTTTTCATCCGAATAAATCTGCTGAAGAAGCTGTGGCTTACACAGTGAAACGTTCAGAAAAATCTTGTTTTGATTTTCTTAACACGCTGGGATCAATTTAAATAATTTATAATGAATCAGTCTGACTCGACGCTCAAATTATTCCAGGAAGTTCGGCCTGGAAACCTATAATTTTGGGATATGCTCTCTTACTCTCACGTGCAACGCGCGACTACTCCTCCCTATGTATGTATGTCCACACACACGAAAATTGGTAAATTGTGTGGGATGTGATATAATCACTTGTGCACTTTTGAGGTTTGCAGTGAAGCATATTTTTAGCTTTTTCCACAATTGAAAACGGACATCCTTTGAAATTTTAAACAGGTGTAGAAGTCAACCAGCCTCTAAACCTACAATCCATACTGTCCCTAAGAAAAAGGTTTTCATCAAATTACCAAAAAACGGGGAAATAAACAGTAGGATTTTGAGACAAAGGTTGAATTCGATCATCTGTAGAACCTACTATGCAGCAAATACATCACATTTTTCAGATAATCTCCGTCTTCTAATAACGCTATCAAAATTTATAAAAGGGACTGTTTTAAATTTAATAATTTTGAAATTATCCGGAAAAATTTCAGAAATCATAATGAACGTCTCAAATCATGAGCACTTCATATCAAATCGAATCGAGCTACCTGAATAGGAAGTGTAGATTTGGATAGAATTTGATCCGGTTCTAACATCCACCACTCCCCATGAAGTGATTAAATCAACACAAATATATTTTAAGTAGTTTTGTTATGTAAGCTCACGCTGTTTTTGTAATTTCATACACTGATCATATCTAACAGTATGCACACTGTCTGTCATCTTCACCAACTCATCGAATTGAAAAAGTAGAAATGTGATCAAGCAACTGTATATGAGGTGAGATTTTGTCAATTCTGGCCTAATACTAACGTTAATAATAAAGCTATTAGCTGCGTTAAATAGCGAAACGTCAGTACAATCATTGTCGTTTAGTTTTGCATTCCCTGAGTGATACACACAAATCCTTATAAATAATAAAAAGACAGTTGCAGCAAAGAAAATTTTCTTTTCGACGAAGACATCATCTAGGCTGTAAATTCGTGTATTTATATCAAATGGCTGGGAAAGTTCCAGAATGATTTCCGGTTAAGGGTCAAATTAATAAGTTGTATGTATAATTGTAGAGTGAGAAGAGGAAATCATCGAAAAGGATATTCTTTGCTCGATTATTTTGTCTTTTATAGATGTCTGAATGAACATTTTTGCTATACATATATATATATAGTTTTCCACCCAACCTTTACTTTTATCATTGTCTGAAGTCTTCTTAAATGAACACACTCTGTGAGCAGACATGCAAAGGAAGCAGAAGAAAAAAAAGAAAAATCAAATATTAGCAAGCGTCTCAAGAAGAATAACCATCCCAAGAACTTTGTTAACAGATCAACGAAAACATTAAGCACAGCCGATATCGTATGTCTGAAAACGCGGACCTTCACAGTTGCTATTCGATATAGATTTGACACGTCAGAAAATATCAAAAGAGTACTTAATCAATGCAACACCACAGTTTTCTTTAAAACATTAGATACACTACAGGGTAATCCTGTACACACAAAAAGATTGAATTCCAAAGAATTTACAATCTCTTTGTAATATAAACTGCTTAGAATATGATGTAATACATACACGTCGAATGAACCTCACGAGAAAGTAATGTCACAAGAAATGAACACTGTACAGCATCTATTCGACCTCTTTGAAATACAATGGACCTGACAAAGCTTACAAAATAGTCAGTCATAGTGTAACAAGAGAAGGCGAGACACTGAAACCAAAGTATATTTTTCATTGATCAAACCGCTGTTTATACACAGTATTCTGTCGCTAATGCCGAAATGAACTGTGGGAATATGTGAGAATAATATCCTGTTGGCACACATTGTCTGTATCGCACCACCACACTAGAACATACCGCAGAATCAGGCCACAAAATTGACTTTAATAATTTTGATAGCGTCATTAGAAGACCGAGATTATCTGAAAAAATGTGATGTATTTGCGCTATACATTTCGAACAATCTGATCACACATTTACTTGTCAAGTCGATAGATATATATGAAAATGTTAAATTAAACAAAGTGACAAAAAAGGATTAAGAATAATTAACACAAACGTTTGGTAATCCAATCAAATAAGGATTACCAAGGTAAGTTAAGAGTAATAACAAACTGTTTTTGAATACACAAGGGGGGCTTAAGTTTATGAATGGCTATAGCCTCAGCGTATTTCAGTAAACGCCCTTGACCGTTTTTATAGATGACCTTAAAGGCTGAGTTAAAATCAACCTTATGGTTCAGCTCGATTAGATGTTTAGCTATAGATGAAGTTGGTAGTCTGACACTTGCATCTATTGGCTTGTCACAATTCATCTGTTTTCATCCGAATAAATCTGCTGAAGAAGCTGTGGCTTACACAGTGAAACGTTCAGAAAAATCTTGTTTTGATTTTCTTAACACGCTGGGATCAATTTAAATAATTTATAATGAATCAGTCTGACTCGACGCTCAAATTATTCCAGGAAGTTCGGCCTGGAAACCTATAATTTTGGGATATGCTCTCTTACTCTCACGTGCAACGCGCGACTACTCCTCCCTATGTATGTATGTCCACACACACGAAAATTGGTAAATTGTGTGGGATGTGATATAATCACTTGTGCACTTTTGAGGTTCGCAGTGAAGCATATTTTTAGCTTTTTCCACAATTGAAAACGGATATCCTTTGAAATTTTAAACAGGTGTAGAAGTCAACCAGCCTCTAAACCTACAATCCATACTGTCCCTAAGAAAAAGGTTTTCATCAAATTACCATAAAACGGGGAAATAAACAGTAGGATTTTGAGACAAAGGTTGAATTCGATCATCCGTAGAACCTACTATGCAGCAAATACATCACATTTTTCAGATAATCTCCGTCTTCTAATAACGCTATCAAAATTTATAAAAGGGACTGTTTTAAATTTAATAATTTTGAAATTGTCCGGAAAAATTCCAGAAATCATAATGAACATCTCAAATCATAAGCACTTCATATCAAATCGAATCGAGCTACCTGAATAGGAAGTGTGGATTTGGATAGAATTTGATCCGGTTCTAACACCCACCACTCCCCATGAAGTGATTAAATCAACACAAATATATTTTAAGTAGTTTTGTTATGTAAGCTCACGCTGTTTTTGTAATTTCATGCACTGATCATATTGAACAGTATGCACACTGTTTGTCATCTTCACCAACTCATCGAATTGAGAAAGTAGGAATGTGATCAAGCCACTGTATATGAGGTGAGATTTTGTCAATTCTGGCCTAATACTAACGTTAATAATAAAGCTATTAGCTGCGTTAAATAGCGAAACGTCAGTACAGTCATTGTCGTTTTCTTTTGCATTGGCTGAGTGATACACACAAATCCTTATAAGTAATAAAAAGACAGTTGCAGTAAAGAAAATTTTCTTTTTGACGAAGTCATCATCTAGGCTGTACATTCGTGTATTTATATAAAGTGGATGGGAAAGCTCCAGAATAATTTCTGTTTAAGGGTCAAATTAATAAAAATTACAATTAGGAATTAGAATGCCATAATAAACAGGGGGATGGGTAAGACTCAAACAAAATAGCATAATAACTAAGAAGATTGACAATGTGCAAATGGGGGTTAGAAATGTGGAAATAACAAAATATACAGGATGTTTGGATAAAAAACTAATATGATGAATAATTGTTTATGCAATCAGGGTTTAAATATGTAGAAATAGTAAAATGACAAAATAAACAGGAAGTGTGGATGTGAAAATATGGTAGTGTAGACAGGGATTAAGAAAAACCTAAAATAACATGAATAAACAGGAAGTTTAGATAAGAAAGGCGATGGGATTGTCATTATTAAAAAATTTACCTGTTTATGATGGCCATGGCAGGGACAGGGGTTGGACTTATTTCTTTTGGATACAAAGGGTGGGTTTGAGTTTTTGGATAGCTAACGCCTCAGCTATGCCCAGATGTCTTGATTTCACTCCCCTTGATAGGTTTAACTGAATCTTGTATATTACTTATATCCTTATAACAGTGAATATCATATATTGCATGCCTAAATTTCCTCAAATCGTTGAATATAAAACTATGTTTTTGCAAATATGATTATATCCTCCATTACTAAACAGTTCAAAATGCATGAATTTTTAACACACTCAGAGGAAATTGTCAACAAAATATATTTATAATATATAATTTGATATGTGTCATGACCAAAGATAGAATTCTTCGTATCTACTTCATTCTATTCTGAGCTTGTAGGCCACATTCACCTACGTCTAAGTGGAGAATGGTGTTCTTAGTGAAACTTGAATCAATCAGACTAAGGTTTCAAATAGTGACTATATTATCAAACGTGCACCTGAGTCAAAAAGTGAGAATGTTGCTCAGTAGGCGTCACTTACCATCTTCCAAAACATTTTTGTTTGAATCTGTTCCTTTATTCTGGAGGGAAATTATCCATCCATCGCTTTGTATATCTTTTCTGAAACACAATGACCGGTCACTCAATTATCGGTATATAGCATCACGGTGTTATCAGTCTCTGTTTGTCATTAGTTCATAAAACAGATACTTTGTAACTGTCTTTCATTTTGGAAGTTTCATCAAACAATGTTTCATAAACGCTTCTCCAAGAATTCCTCGTCAACGTATTTCTTTTATGTTTTACGAGTTGATCACGGACTGATATCAGTTAGAGAACCACTGAAAACCATTACTCCCTGGTTCTGGAGTCCTAATTAGAAGTCGTGACCAGTGAGGTCCAATTAGATGTCACGTGTGTGGATGGATGTCCCATCAACGACAATGGTTGGGGTTGCGCTAAATCACGAATTGGTAGAAGTTAGAATTCATGAGCCATTGAATCGGGTCCCAGTGGCTGAATGGTCGTCAACGAGCTTGCCTTGTTACCGGAAGGTCCTGGGTTTCAATCCCAGTGGGTGCGTACTGCCGATGATTCCCAAACTAGGATGAAACAGCAGCTGTCCAGTACTCCCTGGTTTTCAATGGTTCTCTAACTGATATCAGTCCGTGATCAACTCGTAAAACATAACTAATCTTTACAAACCAAACTATAGAATATTTCTTTTATATTCTTTCCAGATAGCAATGATTATTTTTGGTGGAGGTATGGCTGTTCTAATAATTATTGTAAGTTGTCGTTCAAGTTTTTTCTTTATTTCTCATTTTATTACTAACATATGTGGAATGTGAAAATAAATAAATGTGAGAAGTATTTGTAAAGATTCAACTTAGACAGCATCCCTTGATGCTGGATGATTAGAGGCAATCAGTAGACAGCCCTTCGACCACGTTTTGCGCTTGATGACGCTCATTAGTCAGTAAGGTGCATTCCAAACCTTGAAGGGACTCATGTCCATTCTGAGATTCGAAATAGCTTAATGGTGATGTCTCTGACTGCAGCACTGTTTGACGCGGCTGATGATTGCCAACTAGCGCGAGATCTATGTCCAAGGCTTCCTGCAGATTACCTCCAACCATTCAGTATCAATAATTAAAAGTAGACCATGATGGCGAGCCACCTAATGGCATGGTGGCCACATTGCAAACCTTAGTGGTAGAGTTCAGTCTGCACCGAAGATAGGACTAAACACATTACACTGGTTACTGACTAGTTTTCAGGTATTGGTTTTGTAGGGATTTTGTTCGATTGCATGGAGGATTTCATCATGAACTGACATCAGTTAGATAACCACTGGAAAACCCGGGACTACTGTGGGAGTACTGAACAGCTTTTTCGTCCTAGTTTTGGACTCTTCATCAGTACACACCCACCGGGATTCGAAACCAGGGCCTTCTGGTTACAAGGCGAGCTCCATGCAATCAAACAAAATCCCTACAAAACCAATACTTGAAAACTATTATGATGCTCACTAGTTACTGACCCTATTCAGGCAGTTAACCTAGGGTTCTAGTGGGAAGCCGTGACCAGTAGGGTATAGCAGGTTGAAGATGAGGCAGTAACTCATCGAAGAAGACATTGCGAAATGGTTGCGCTGTGTCGTGAATTGGCAGAAGTTAGAATTCAAGGAACATTGGATCGGGTCCCAGTGGCTCAATGGTCTACCAGCTCTCCTTTTAACCAGAAGGTCCTGGGTTGGAACCCTGGTGGGTGCGTACTGATGAAGAGTCTCAAACTGGGACGAAACAGCTGCTCAGTACTCCCACAGTAGTCCCGGGTTTTCCAGTGGTTCTCTAACTGATGTCAGCTCATGACTAGTTTTTAATCAAAAGTATCCAATTCAGTCTTACAGGAGGTCAGTCGCTAGCCCGAATATCTCAGTGGTAACGTCTCTGACTGTAGCATTGGGCGTCAAGGGTTCGAGTCTCAGAATGGACATGAGCTCCTTCAAAGTTGCAGATATGCCTTGCTGACTGGGAAGTGCCAACTTGTATGGAACTTAAATGGAGGGCTTCCTGTCAATTGCCTCCAATCATCTAATGTCGTACAGATAAACTGATGAAAGATATCTAATTTGTCGATTCATGACTCACATCGATATTGCGTAATATTTTATAGATAGACTCATTGTCAGGTTACCAAGTTCACACAGAAATAACACTTCTGTGGATGTGTTTATTTAAAATGTTTAATTTAATCCACTCTTTCGAATGTCTAAAATATACAATTGGCAGATGGTTGTAGACACTAAGTGGCATCGTAAAAACAAATTGAAACTGTGAACAGTTGAAGTGTAAGTGTCAGCGCTTTTCAAAATGGTAATAGTCTCTTTTTGAATACACAAATCCAGTTTTTTTGCTCTTCTGATGGAGGTAGCTTCAGGACTTTGAAGTAATCGTACGATGCTTTGTCTCTAAATGCCGGTGTCGCGTCGTGTATCAGCTAGTTGCCAAGCTATCACACTGTTAAATGCAAATGAACTTCTAAGGGATATACTCATCAGGATATGTACAACAATCTTGAGAAAGAGAGAGGCATGTCTCGTGTACTTGCTGTCACAGGTAACCATGAATTAATTAGCTCATTATGCGATACCGAGAATCTGAAGTTGGTCCACTTTGAACTCCGTAACTATGTAACTATATCAAATTAGGATAATCTCAAAAATAGTTTGTGTGGGAAATTATTCTCAGTGTACATGAAATTACATGTTGTTAGTTTGGAAACATGGATGAATACATTCTCCACTGTATTGCACAACAATTCACTGTTTCCTCCCTCACGGATATGAGACGTGGCCGTTGAAAGTGGTAGTGGCTATCTGTCTTTAACCGCAAATGTTTTCTTTCTTTGCGTGTAGACTCCTAGGTAAGGGAGGGAGGTTAATCAGTAAGGTTGCGATGCTGCATTGACTGAGATGGCTACGGCATTCTGAGTCACTGCCTTCCTCAGAGAGCAATGTAAGCTGACAAGTGATCTAACTGAATAAGAGTTATAGTTGGTCAGACCAAAACCCGATATCAGTCCACAAAGTCTTTGACGACTTGTGTTAGCCAAAGGGGGGTAATGCAGACTGCCTGGCTAAGGTTCTCAGGATGCTCAAAATCGATTGCTAGACATTATTTTTGGTACAGCCCAAAACCATTCTCTCTGACACAAATACTTTCACTCTTTGTGACAATTCCTTGCTTTTCCATGTGACTTTATTTCCTTCGGTACATCTGCACTAATTATAGTCCTTTTGGACCTCCTATTTCTTTCTTCCACCTCTGTGTGCTACAAGAAGTGTGGGAACTTCGACTAATACACCTCTGTAAGAATATTTCTGCTGAAACTCAGATAGCGCAAAAAATACACCATGGATAGCCACTATTACACCTTCAGTCTGCAGTTCAAAGAAAGCCAAAAGCAGATATTTACAAATACTATACTAACTGACGTCTGTATACACATGTCTTGTTTTCAAATTGTCCCTTTTAATGGCCAGTGTATATTGAGAATAATTTCGTTTCAGCTATTAAGGATATCACAATGACCAAATAAGGGGAATCGCAAAATTGGATCTTATAAACTAATTGGTTGATGGTAACTAGCAGTTGAATCCAGGATTCGCATTTCGTTCTATTTGGGACTCGTCACCTGGAAACGTTTTCGTTTAAAAATTGAGTCAGATAAGAGAAACTTTCATGAATAAAACTCAGAAAATCAAGCGTGTTGTCATCCAAAAAATTAAAATCCCAAGGGAAAATTGAATGGAAGATTGGCAAACAAACTGATCCGCTTTAGATGCACAAACGAATTATATACACAGAAACAAGTTATGCAAATATTACTATGAATTCACTACAAACAAGACTAGTGTCAAGATATTTAAATATTGCATGGAGGATTTCATCATGAGCTGACATCAGTTAGAGAACCATTGAAAACCAGGGAGTACTGGGCAGCTGCTGTTTCAAACAAACCTTTACAAATCAAACTATAGAAAATTAATCTGATGCTCGCTAGTGACTTGCTACAGAATGGAGTTTCCTGGAGTTCTAGTGAGAAGTCGTGACCAGTGAGGTCCAATTAGATGTCACGTGTGTGGATGGGTGTCCCACCAACGATAATGGTTGGGGTCGCGCTAAATCACGAATTCGGAGAAGTTAGAATTCATGAGCCGTTGAGTAGGGCCCCAGTAGCTGAATGGTATACGAGCCAGCTCGCCTTGTAACCGGAAGGTCCTGGGTTCGAATCTCAGTGGATGCGTACTGCCAATGATTCCCAAACTAGGATGAAACAGCAGCTGTCCATTACTCCCTGGTTTTCAATGGTTCTCTAACTGATATCAGTCCGTGATCAACTAGTAGAAATTTATACATATGTTTATATACACAGAATATTCTAGAATAGTCGTCTTTAACAATATTTGTGTTTTTAAATATTATTGATTAGTTAAGTAAAATCACAATGGAATTACAGTTCACTTCTTTTTTCATTCATTTACGTTCCAAGTAGACCATAGGGCTTCAAGCTATAGCCTTGAAGTTTCGGTAGCAGTGATATTTATCTTTACCGGGTGGGGTTGCTAGCCTCAAGCCTTACCTTCCCTCTTTACTAGTCGTATTATTGGCTTAGTGAGGGAAAGGAGTGCGTTGGTGGCCAGGAATCAAACCCAAACCACCTGTATGGTTGGACAGCATTCTACTACTGTACCACCGATGCACTGTTTACACAGTTCACTAAAGATGCGTAAACTTTAATAGGCATAAAAATGTAGTAGTAATTAGAATATCAAATAAATCTAAGGTAATTTCCACAACAAACTGAGGATCATTATAACAATGATGGTCAAGGACAATGTCTGAAGTAAACAGCTTATTTTGGATACATAAGTTAGGTTTCTTAATGTAGTTCTCGACAGCCTCAGTATTATGTATTAGACGAATTCTTTCGGTAAAGGTACGGTGAGTCGGTACGCGGCTGATGATTCTGAAAGCCGCCTTGTTTACGTCAATCTTGTGTTCTTTATCCGCAAGCTGAGGTAGAATAGCGCTACGAATAGACTTTGTTTGTCCTTTACCTAACCACTTTGCAGTATGATGTTCAGAAGTGCGACAATAAACATGCCTAATTGTATGGCCGATGTAACTGGCTCGCTCTACAGGAGCAGTTAAATTGGTAGATACACCCCCCCAGAGAAGAGAGGAAATTAGGCAGCCTATCTTTTACTCCCGAACCCAAAATACGGGTGGTTTTGAAGACACAGCATAATTCAGTAGCATAATACCGCATTCCTCGCTGATGTTTTTCCCGAGTAACTAAAGTTGTAAGGATAAGGCCCTTTTTAGAACTGTTGCTACCTTGGGCTGCCTTGACTTTTTATTCATATTCTTATCAATGAAATTTTCTACTTAACCGTTCTAACTCAGCAACTGTTTAATAATACTAAGCTCTCCCTCCATTAAGGCATTCATCAGAGCAGATTGCTTTTGCTCAATGGACCAAGGACTTTATCAGATTGCTTTTGTATTTCAAAGGCACGAAGCTGAAAAATGAGTATACTGACAGTCAGTTGATGTAGGTTTTCTAAATACACTTCTTATTATTGTGCCATCCTATTTTGTGGTCATAAGGACGTCCAGAAATGAAATACTAGGGTCTTTTTCTTTCCCAACAGTAAAATTTATTACAGGATGAACCTCGTTAAATCTACTCAGGGTGTTCTTTGCCTCCTCCTCATTTTTTCATAATCGAAAATATATCATCCATGTATCAACAGTAGAATTCTAGTTCATCTTGAAATGTCGTGGACTTCAGATGATAATCGAATTGAGATAATAATAATAAGCTTTATTCCAGAAACAGTAATAGTGGTACAGTGTGGAATTTTCAGCACATATCTACAATATTTGCATCTAATTTTACCAAACATTTAAAAGGAGTTTTTCAAAAAATAAATATAAAAACAACAACAAAATACACAAAAAAAGAAAACACAAAAATAATTTTTAAAAAGTGCGAAAAAATACCAAAAAGTAGAAAGGAGAATAAACAACAAAAAATAATATCTCAGTATTGGGTAGTGGAAGCTATGATATGATTATGCATGGTGACAGTAAATCTATAGTCATACAAGAAGTTATGAAATGATATTTAAGAAGGTTTATCGCCAAGATGATCAGTTAATTTGGTTGAAACAAAAACTAAACAATCACAAAAAAACATTTCAGGGTTGTTGTTTTGTTTTTTATTGTCAGGTCTAATGTGGAGTTTGTAGTGGTAGTGCGAGTAATCCTGCATAATACAAAATTTTACGATGGTCATAATGGCGTTCACAACCAATGATTGTCAGTTAATATTGCCGAACAAAAAACACAGCAAACACAAAAACTAATAATTACATAATGGTTAATGACAGGACAATTTTGTACTACTCATAGTGCTAATATTGTCGGAACTAGTAGATACACAAAAGAAGGAATAGACTAAAGTACAAAAAAAGTAAGCCAATGTTAATAATTTAGGTAGCTAAGTATGTTTACTTAGTCTCTTGATGATACAAAAAGAGCAACAAGAAATTTACTAAATCTATTGAAATTTTGAAGATATATATACATAAAATTAATTACTCTCCTTTGTCATGGTTTTAAATTTCCTTCTTCAGTTGGCTATCATTTCTGGTCAGATAACACTTAGTCAGCATGGAATACGTACAACATCTCCTGACTACTGTTTGGCATCGATTATCCTGCATGCTGTCTCACTTCTACTATTTATCATCAGTGCATTAGAATTTTATTTCACTTTACCGAATACACCTAAAAAGTGTAATTTACTATCAAAGATGTTTTAAATTTCTCAACATTAGATTTGTATACTATTCAGTTAGTGAAAGACATTTAGTCAAATTATTTTTTAAACTTTTAGTTTCTGTGACCAATTTGACGCTTTAAAAACAGTAATTATAACAATAATAATAATGACAATTCATTTTTCTCTATATCTTATATATTTTAAATGATTAAAAATGCCCATTAAAATCTTCAAAAGAATGGACACTGAACAAAGAGTACTCTTTTCGATAAATTCATCATCAGGCTCTACAGTTATATATACATTAAAGTGAATGAATGAGTTAGTGTTATGAACAACATTATTGCTGTTTAAATAACATGGAATCCATAATACTGATAGACTACAGCTCAATAGCATCAATATAAAATTAGCTGAATGTCAGAAAACTTAGGAAAGATAATATTACAACTTTATGAATTTATAGTCTCTACTGATAGCTGGCCAGGGCAGTAGTAGGGGCTGGACTTGCTTCTCTTGAACACAGAGCACTGGTTGTTTGAGGCGAATTGCAATAGCCTCTGCTGTTTGGAGCATGCGGTGCTTCCACGACTTTGTTAATTTGTTAGGCGCCTGGTATATTGTAGAGAATGATTCTTCTACGCTGGCTTTGTGACCGGTTTGCACCAGATGGCCCAATATCGAGCTGTTAATAGTTTTAACTACACCTTTACTTAGCCATACTGGGAGATGTTCTCGAGCGAGCACGAAAAATCAAGTGCCTAGAGCCACGGCCAATATAAATCGCTCCACAAGCGCAGTTGAATCGGTAGACACAATTTGAAGTGGCTAGTCTAGTCTAGGTACTTCATCTTTCAGTCGAGGTAGCACCGTCGGTCGTGTAGAGAAGAATACGTATAGTTCGCCAGCATTAAAAGTTCTTAGAACTGATTTTCTCAATTTATTCGTAATTAATTCGCTTGGTATATAGCCCATGAATTGTAGTCGTATATATAAAGGCATCTTGTTTACAGACAGTGAACTGTCCTTTTCCGCTTTCTTTGTCATGTGTTTCTTGATAAATTTGTCAGGATAGACATTTTCGATCAAAGTATCATATACAATGCTTAATTCATCTTCAATTACTTCTTCTAAGCAGATAGCTGTAACTCTGTGGCTGAGGGTCTTCACTAAATTCCTTTTGTACTTGAGAAGAACGAAGCTGTAAAAGTGTGTATATTGTCCTGTCCAAGTGCTTTTTCGATGCGAATTTCTTTTTATGCTACCATCTGGTTTTCTTGTAAGTAGGACATCCAGGAAGGCAATTCTGTCTTGGGATTCCTCTTCGCATGTGAATTTCATAACCGAATGTACTTCATTGAATTCAGTAATTATTGTACTCCTATCAGAACCATTATCACAAAGAATAAACGTATCATCCATATATCGGCAATAAAATGAGTGCTTACTGATAAGGCTGTTCAGAGGTTCATTTTCTAGCTTACTTAGAAAGAAATCAGCCAGAATGGGACCCAATGGGGAGCCCATCGCTACCCCGTTCACTTGCCTGTAAAGCGTGCCGTCAAATTTGAAGTTTACATTCATGTTACATCTTAATATCAATTCTGAATGTGGGATCTATACTAAAATTTTCAGATTTATGTAACCTAAACTTGTAACAATACTATCACTGGCACTTTAACTTCGATATGAGTGGAATAAGTATTACTTAGAGAAACTTATTTACACATACTGAATGATATATCAAGCATAAATAATTACCTGTGAAGTTACTTAGAACTTTAGCTAAAATATGTGGTATTCAAATGGTGAAATAGTGAATGTGGATTGAACACATTCTTAGTATTGTTCCCTTCCTTGACTGCCAAGTGGAACATAGATAGATCTTCAACAATAATATTTTCGTTTCACCTTGTTGTCTGTAGGCCTGTTTAGTTGGCTTCATGATAACCCATAAGCTTTAATTTCATTCTTATTCGATCAATTCTATGGAATCCTTTGATTCACGCTTAACTAGCCATCTCCCATACAGGTTCTAAAAGTGGGACTCCAGGGTGCATAATTTTACTCAACGTTCGCTTCGACGTCTGTCCATTCCATCTCCATTTCCTGCATCAAATTTTTCTGGCGATAGGTTGTCGGCTGTTTTGTTGCTAACTGTGGAAGTGAATACCACACAATTTTATTTTGTAATATCAATGAGCCATTTTTGATTAGGATGGGTTAACCATCCTGATACTCACGACTGTTTACAAACGTCATCACTGAATACGACGATATCGTGTTGCTTGCAATTTAAAGGTGTAACGACCGTTAACTGCTCATCAGAAGACCATTAGGCAACAAGTGGTTGGAGGTATCCATTCAAACATCATACAGGTTACATTTGGACAGCTCGTGAGTTTCCACCTCTGATCATCCCCATTGTTCTTCGAAAATTAAGGACATTCATCTGCTAGAAAGCCTTTACAATCAAATTAGTAGACGGTAGCGATTTAATTTGAATTCTCCTCGATGTCAGTGAAAGACAACGTCGACGTTCCAGTAGCGGATATTTATGTTCCGGGGAGTGAGGTTGCTAGCCTCCACACAGAACCTTCCGTGTTTTAAGCGCTTGTTATCACCTACTTTAGGCATGTGGTTTGGTCGATTTCGAATTCTCATCTAAAACTATACCGGTGCAAATTCAACACATATTTACTGTCATTGCCTATACAGCAACAAACTTCGTGAATAGGCAGACTAAACCACGTAACTAGATAGAATTTTGTATGCACATTTCGATTTCCTCAAGTATGTAAAAATTTGAATTTAGAAGAAGATAAGGGATGAGTATATATGCATAAAATTATGTACAATCCTTTACTGTCTCCAACAGATTCTTCAACTGACGATTTCTAGTATTTCAAGGATCCCAAACATGCGTTCTAAATTCTCCTACACAAATCTACTGATAAATAAGTTTTACTTTCAATATCAGACGAAAGCCTCAGCGATTTCATAATTTTCAGTGAAACTTTGCTGAAAACATTGTCCACCATGAATAAGATTGCAACTAACCACAGGACTTTTGACCGCCTCAAAACCTTGAAGCATTAGACGGCTGCGCAATCCTTTAGTGAGACTCTTTTATAAAGCACATCCACAACGCTGTCAGCGATCAAATCTGATGATTTCAAATCATGGGGGATACACTATGTCATCCAGCAGTCATATCGGGGAATATCCTATAGTCCAATAATTCTAGTTTTCCGTTTACAAAATTACAACCGTTAAGTGCCACGCGTGAATTATTATTCCCAAGAGAAACACTAGATCAAATGAAACTCATCATTTGCAATTTGCACCGGTTTCGTTAATTTGGGAAAGTCGAATAAGCTGCATCACAGCATATATGACTAGTTCGACACAGTAGGAGGGATGATTTATCCTACTGCTTCCACACCTGCCTTAGTAAATACAGCTGACCATGACATATTGATTAGCAGGGTCTAAAGTATTACCATCTTAGTGAATACATCTATGTTTCTGGACATAAATCAATACATATCTCGGCAGTCTACGTAATGTAGTTTATAGAAGACAAACACTGTATGTTCAAATATTGGTTTGTAGGGATTTGACTGATCAGTTACAGGATTTCATCATGAGCTAAAATAGGTTATAGAAGCATTGGAAAACCTGCAGGGAGTAACTGACAGGCGTTTCGCCAGCCTAGTTCCGGACCCTTCAGAAGTACGTACCCACCGGAGTTCGAACCCAATCGTGACCAGCAGGGTTCATCAGGTTGGGTGTGAGGACAAATACTCGCCGAAGACACTGGCTATTGATCACGCTGTTGTGAATCGGCAAAAGTTGGAATTCATGGGCTGTCCATTGAATTGGGTCCCAGCGGCTTAGTGGTCTACGAGCTTGCTCGCCTTGTAACCAGAAGGTCCTTGTTTCGGACCTTGGCGGTGAGTGCGTACTTCTGAAGAGTCCCAAACTAGGCTGACGAAACAACTGTCCATTACTCCCTGCAGGTTTTCCAATGGTTCTCTAACCAAAGTCAGCTCATGATGCAATCCTGTAACCAACATGACAAACATTTCAGTTGATTTGTTATTTTGTGTCCACTAAATTTTAAATATTAGGACACTTATAAGCTGCTTCTCAAACTACTTAATCGCCAGTAGCATTCCATACATCATTAAACGTTAGATTAGCAAGAGATGTACGACGCAAGTTTATCATAGTTATCAGTATTACCGCTATTATTTGAATGCAAATGTTGTAGCCAGACTGTGTCAACAAGATCTATCTTGTATACTGTTACTCACCAAGTCGTCCAAAAGTGGAAGGAATGAAAAGAATAACAGATATGTTATTGATAGTAACTGGATTACATATATAAAACACTAATAATTCCGCCTTGTGTTCAATAAGCCCATGTGAATGAAATCCGTCGCATTCATAAGGTCACCATGTTTCTTTCCCCTGTTTCTGTATTCTTTAATCATCTACTGGCACTATTTTAGTCACCTTTTGCACTCCAGCTGTCAGGTCAACACCCACTAGCCCGATTTCTACACTAAATGTCTTTTTCTGTGTTTAGAATCAGTGGAGTGAGAACCTTTACCTTATAAAGTCATAAATAACATCTAACATTTGTGAAAATCATTCTGTATAAATTAAGAACTTTATCGTTTATTATTCCTAACATTTTATTTTAAAATTAAAAGTGTACAACTTTACTGTAGACGTCAAGAAGCGTCCTGAAAACAAAATGAAAATTCAAAATCACTCGAGGAAATAATAATAATAAATTCTGCTTTATAACTAAAATAGTACTAATGATGTAGCAAGGAATTTTCAGCATTTTAGTATAATACTGCATCCAATTTACTCAAAACGACAAAAAAAATAAACATTACATAATAATGATAACAAAACGTTGTTATAGCAGCTATTTAGCAAATTACTGTATGCAATATGGAGAAAAATATGCATAGAGTATAAAATTATACCAATAATAGTAATATAAACTAAAATAAAAATAGCAAAGTTATAATTAAACGATATAAAGGGTGATACCATAAAATTGCAGAAAGATGAACAATGAAAGGGTCGATTCACTTTGCTAATTACATAGTAACTTATATGT